ACTGACTTTAGTGGTTGGTGCATAAATTTGAATAATAGTGGTATTAACTGGGCTTCCCTGTAGGCACATGGATATTATCCTATCACTTATAGCATTGCACCTCATGACTGATCTGGATATGTTCTTTTGATGTTGAATGCAACACCATTCCTTTTCAATTTGTCATTGCCTGCATAGTAAACCATGTGGTTGTCAGATTCAAAATGGCCAATACCAGTCCATTTCAACTCACTAATGCTTAAGATATCAATGTTTATGTGTTCCATTTCATTTTTGACAGCTTCCAATTTTCCCAGATTCATACTTCGCACATTCCATGTTCCGATTTTCAATGGATGTTTACAGCTGTTTCTCTTCATTTTGAGTTGTGGCCCATCAGCAAATGAAGGTTTTGTGCACTTTTCTCCCCCAAGCTTAACTCTATTCACGTCATCCTTGTCAACTCTACTTTGAGGAGGCATTTTTTCCCCAGTCCCATTCTGAGTGCCTTCCCACCTTCCGGTCCTGTATCTGACAATGTTTCTCTGCTATTCTTAGAGTTCTGTCCATAGAATCCTTCAATATTTTACTCAATATTGAGTATGTGTTATCTGGACCCAAATATAACAGGATTCAATGTAGTAATGTTTTAGTAAAATATCTTTGTACTTACACTAAATCTTCATGGTCAGTGTGACCTTGAGCTGGCCACTGAACTTCATTTCTCATTTGTGAAATAGAGATGGTGCTACCTAGTTTATGATTGTTATAAAAAGTAATAACATGTTAAATTCCTGAGTTCAATTAGGTGTCAAAAAATGTGAATGAATGCATTTCCACCCTCAGTCATATTGTCAAATTATTTTCTTCATATGATCTTTCTCAGTTTTATCTTCCCAATGAGTTGATAAGGACATTATAGGTTGTACTCTCTTCTTACATTCAGTTAATTGTGAGCTAAACTGTATAGGCATAGGGTAAAAATTCAATAAAAAACTTTCACATTGTTGGAAAATCTAATAACCAGTTATATTAGCAAAGAGATAAACAGAGGGAAGTTAAAAAAGTTCCAACATTCCATGGCAGAAGTTTCTGTTTATAATCTGCCTGTAGGAAGGCATTCTTACATAGTGCTTATGAGTCTGGCTGCTAACCGGAAGGCCAGCAGTTCAAAACTACTAGCCATTCCATGGGAGAAAGATATGGCTTTCTGCTCCTGTAAAGATTTACAGCCTCAGAAACCCCATACAAGTTCACTATGAGTTGGAATAGACTCCATGGCACACCACCACCACCCACCGCACCACCACCGCCCGCCGCACCACCACCGTCAGCCACACCAACACCACCCATCCACCACCACCACCTGCACCATATATAAAATGCTAGAGATACATTTAGGTTTCTTAAGTCAAAATATTATTTTAATGTGAACAAAGAGATTCTGAATAAAATTTTAAATTACAAAAGACAGACAAACACCTGATAACTTTGCAAATAAACTATGTTTTTGTAATGTCTTATAATTACATTTATATTTTCATGGTATTAAAAAAGTAAGAAAAATCTGTTTGGGAACATATAAAAGCATCTTAATGTTAAAAAAAATATAAGATCTGAGCAATAAAAAAATACAATCATTTCAATAAAATTGTGACAATCTATTTATACATAATGAGTACATTTTAACTAGCAAGAAATTATTCTGTTTATATTGCCTAGCAAAGTTTTGCTCATTTGGGGTAGATTTAACTCTGTATTTTGACAATTCAACACAGTCCTTGGTAACAAGGTAGGCAATGACAAGAGAAGACCTGGAGTGCCAAAAGTAAGACATTCAGTTCAATTTAAATTTGAGATACACTATGACATACTTAAACGTAAAACATTGTTTATTATATATTTAAAATGCAGATTTACCAGGCACTTGAATACATTTGTCAACCCTAATCACTAGTTCTCACATATAATGTCATTCAGTATCTAAAATAAATAAAACTGCACCAGAACATTATTAGGAGCACTGGTGGGGCTGTAGGACAGCTAAATGCCAGGTCAGCAGTTCAAAGATAAGACTTTCTGCTCCTATAAAGTTTTGTAGCCTCAGAAACCTTATGCATGGTCACTATGAGTCGAAATCAACTCGAAAGCAATGGCTTTATTTATTTACCTTTTTATAACATAATTACACTATCCTATCAACAGTGTTTTCTTTGCAATTTTTCTACACTGACATACAAATATTACTATATTTAATGCTTAAATAAATACATAAATAATAAATAGGTTAATACATTGTACTTGAAGATAATTTATATGACCATGAAAAAAAATGTAAAGTGCTTCTAGAAGTTCTCACAATATCCCTGTGAGGTAGGAAGATGACTGGATTGTTAATTTTGTTCCTAGAGTAGTAAAAAAAATAATAAACAAATGCACAGTTGAACTGGGATCATGGATTCTGGCCACCAGACTAAGATTATACATAAAAAGCTGTGTTCCAGCTAAATTTGAATATAAGGCAACATTTAAAAAACTGTATGCCCTACATATTGCATGGGACAATAAGAAAATTCTTCTTGTATTGCTGAAATGCAAATTTAACTGGGCATCCTTTTTTATCTGCGAACACTACAACAAATCCACACAATATGTGAAGCACTGAAGTATATGCTTGAAGCTGTATTCTCATCTTCATTGAAGAATTCTTGGAAGCCGTGGAGAATGACTCTTTTTTTATGGCTTTTCTTTTTCTGCTCTGAAAATATAAAATAAATAACATTTTAACAATTACTATTTTCTAATTAGGAGGAAAGTATGCTTCTTGAAAATAGGTTTTCATGAGAAATTAATACAGTCTTAAGAAAGTCATGTGTTAGAAATGCTCTTCATTTTCAATTAGAAAAAGGGAGACCAGAACACATGTGAGAATGAGATTCTACTAATGATCATGTCAGAACACAAGTTTATGCCCAGAGCTTCCTGGACAAATCAAGACGTGTGGCCTTTCTAAATATGAGTCAAACAAAGTCACTATTGCTGCTGTTCTGACTTTTAAGTAAAAAGATGAGAAAAAATTTTTAGCAGTAACATAAAATATATAGGCTGACTTTTGGACTATATGTATGTCTCAGGACAGATGAAATATTTAAATGAAAATAACTCACCTTTTCAAAAATTGCTGAACAACCAACTGCACCCACTTTTTAGTGGGGTCCAGGCAGACTGATTTCACTTCCTCTCTTTCCTTTGTAACAATTTTTGCACTAGAAAGAGAGAGAAATTATGAGAAGCAATCATCAGCAGGTTTCAGACATCTCCTTGCCATGCAAAGGATGACCTGGGAAGTACAGGCATAAGATCTAAGTCCAAAGCAATTTTCAGCTCATAGGCATGGAATGTGTCATATTTAAATACTACTAACACAAGGAATGTTGTTTTCTGCTTTGTTCACCACTGTTTTCCTAGAACCTAGGACTTTCTTGAATAGTTCTCCTCTCTCCATTCTAGATTTACTAAAACAGGTTATCTAATTACTTTTGAAAGTACTTACATGATTTCTGATTTTGCGCAGTGTGGTCCACTCTCAATCACTCTCACTTCCTTGATAAATTTGGGATGGATAAATTGAGAGTATGTCTTTATACACTGGCATCGAAGTTCTGTAGCCACCCTTGGCAAAACTGCAGCTATAAAAACAAACAAACAAACAAACAAAAATTAAGGATTGATTTTATTAAAGGGCATGATTCTGCTAGCTATCTCTCTTTGATTCCAATGTGATTATTTAGAAATTGTGAAAAACTGTGTATCTTTCACAAATCCATTCCTCAAACTGAAGATCAGATATTTTCCAAGCCCCTTACTTAAACTTTTTCTTTGTTTTAAAAACAATCATGACTGGATTCATTGAATAACTTTCTACATAAAATTTTGAAATTGTCTTTGTTGACAATCTTATATGCATTTTTTATTCTACTTGATATTGCATAATCCTCTGTGATATTATAATGCTATTTATAGTAGCAAACTAAAATTTACCCACAGAGAAATTCCTAAATTTTACCCACAAAAATGTACTCAAAAGAATTAATATTGATATATCACTGAGTTGCACAGAAGTGGCATATATTAGTAGAACCCTTAAGACTAAAATAAAAAAAAGATTATATAGGAATCATATTTCATAACCAATTTAAGTAAGCTATGTTAGTTTTATAAGGGGGATCCCTTGAAACCAAACAGAAATTGGTAGTTGTCAGATACTTGAGAATGAAATACTTAGTGGAGTGTAAATATTTGAGTTACCTTGTAAATATTTGAGTTACTCATACTAGATAATATGAGTAAATGTAAGATGCAATAGGATATACTATACATTAAACATTTATGTTACATATAAGCATACTATAAAGTCTCAATAATAGAAATGGAATGCCTATTTAATCAAAGCTTATACTTTATTACATGTCTTATCAATACATAATTAAAACCTCAACTTAAATGAAATGACTGCAAGGATTTTCTTTTCCTAACCAAAAGGAGGTTAGTTTCAAACCATTAAGGAGAGCCTCACTATCTGATCATTTAGACAGAGGAAAACTGAAGAAGACTGGAAGTTGTGCTTACCTTCACACAGAGCTGCAGAAAGCATGAAAGCTGCCAACAGAGCAAAAGCCAACTTGGAAGACATGTTTACAGGAGCTGGTAACTTTCCGGTTTCTCACTGGTCTGTGTCCTAGACACTTTTGCACTCTGCTGTCTCTGAGACTTGTGTTGACTGAAGTGCTCTTGTGGCTTTTTATATTATCGTAGGACAGAGAATATTTGCACCCTCATCTTGAATTATGTCAGAGGAAATTCCACAATATGTAACCACCAGTCTGTGCTTTGAAACCAAACCTGAGTCATCACACTTCCCTGCTCTCTTTATCAAATTTTCAGTATGATTGAAGTTTTATTAGTTCACTATACTAGCATTGCTTTTAATAAACATGCTTTTAAATATACAAGTTTTCCAGTTTGAAAACATCATTGTCAATTCTCTTCTTTCTTCTTTATAAATAACTTGATCATAGTACTGCACGGTCAACAGAGTGACAGCTGTATAGTAATGTCATTGATGATTTTTCTTTTTATCATCCCTTGTTTATTTTGATAAATTATACCACCAGTAATGATAATCATCTAGTAAACCATTTTTATTGGACGACATAATTTATGATAAATCCTTTCTAAGCATTTTAAAGAGTTTCCAGTAACTATTTATTACTGGTGTGGCACTATAGGGTAAGCACTGGACTACTAATTGCTATTTGGAAACCCTATACGGGGTCACTGTGAGTCAACAACACTTAACAACAACAACAACAGCACTGCTCTCAAGGAGCTTACTACAACCTTTCAGAAAATTTGGTTATGTGGGATAAGCACTGGACAGCTAACTGCAAGGTTAGCAGTTCAAACCCCCTCTTTCAAAGCCACTCTCAAAAAACCTATATAGGGTTGCTATGAGTTGAAACTGACTTGTTGGCATTTAATAAGAACAACATATATTACCAGAATGAAAGAGGATACCTGCTACATATAGAAATTTTTCAGCTACACAAACATTTATTAAGTAAATTTCTGATAATGTATGGGATCTGTAGGTCAATAAAACTAAAGACCTGTTCTCAAAGAGTTGAATCTTTAAAAGCTGTATAAGGACCTGACTGTGTTACTAGAATATTCATTCACCTCCAAGGTAGAAGGAAGAATCTTCCATAAGCAGTTTGAGCAGGGCATTGAAGGATGGGAGAACTTCAATAGAGGGAAAAGAAGAACTCATTTCAAATTATAATGTCTAACTATGTTTATAATCCAGGAAGTTGTGCACTGGGACTATTTGCTTGGGGTGGGAATGAGATGGTAGGTAATGGAAAGGTAAGCGGTATATTTTTACTGGAAAGAACATTGGGATTTAAGTTCTGCTTTAAAAACTTAATATCTGTGTGCCTTATAAACTTTCCGAGTCCCTGTTTCTGTATCTATAAAGTGTGTTTGATAATACCTACATATCTCACAAAGCAAATATTCATAAACTTCCTGGTTTAAATTTTTAACTAGCAAGTTCTCATTAGTTCAAGAGCTATGGCTTATATTTCTTTCATATCATTGACTTTCAAACTTCAAAGGTCTCCAACAAACAATTGCCTCCTGTAATTTCATTTGCCTAAAGGGTATTCTTGATGAAAGATTTGTTTCTGAAAAACCACATGAAATCATTACAGCATGTAATAGTTTCATAGACACAATATCAGATCAAGTTATGGTTTGCTCTAATTAAAGTTACAGATTAAAATGTTATTGCATTAAGATAGAAGTTGCTCTTTCAAATAAAAATTGATATATGAAAAGTCTTAAAATAAGTATGTTGTTGTTGTTTTTAAGTGCTGTCAGTTTGATTCCGACTCATAACAACCGAGGTGCTGCTGGTAAGTTGAACCACTGACCTTGTGGTTCAAACCGACTTTGAGATTCAAACAGACTTTGCAGTCCAGCGCATTAACATGCAGCACCACACTAGAACTCCATACACATATGGAACTACTGGAAATAGCTATAGAATTACAGAATACTCTGGGAACTGGTTAAATAGCTTAAATACTGATGTCAGATTTAATTCTGAAATTATTTACATTAAAGGGTAGACAAGTAGACCAAGAGTTACAGTGCTTCAAAATGTTAACATTAGTGGTTCGGAGAACATTTTTTCATTAACTGAAAGATTTGTATACTAACTTCTTAAATATACTTGATTTCCTAGATACATGTGTTTCTGTGTGTGTGCACAAATTCTTCATCACAAAAATGGGATAAGTAGCAATGATGTACTTATTTTATGATAAGAAATTCCAAGATCACACATCTATAAAGCGGTGCAGTTGGCAGTTTAAAACGCTTACTCATTGTAGTCTTGGTGTAAAATCACATTCATAGAGTTGAAAATACTTTTTTCAGGATTCTAGAACACTAAGCCACTTTGGTATGACTGAATTTTCTCACTCCATCATTCTTGCTAGTCATCATGGAACCTCAGAGATTAATCTGGATTTCCTGGGATAAAAGAACTGAGGATGGTCCTTACAATAGGAAAAGTCTGTTCTCTGGGCAAGTACAAAATTTATTAAGAATTCAGCTTGGTTTAACACCTTTCCTGGTTCCTAGGAAGTTCCATACAGAAATAAGCTCACCCACACATAGGTGTGTGAAAGGGGAATGCCGTGTTGGAGCACTTCCCAAAGAGGTTGTTCAGTTTCTGATCAATTATGTTGTTTTCTTCATCTTCCTCCATCAATCCTAAAGCTAGAGAACTAAGTAGTACTGTGAGTTTCATTGCCTTTTAGATCAAAAGATGTGTTTATTTTATATAATGTTGCTCCTATTGTTTTAATTCTATTGTTTAATAATTAGGCTCCAGGAATCTAACTATTCATTCATGCATTCATTCATTCATATCATATATATATTATATGATAGTTTTGCGCATTATAGTAGAGGACATAATTACTCTGTAAATAAGATATGGTCCTTGATTTCAAGGAGTTTTCAGTCTAGTGCAGAATATGGACAAACAGTTATACAAGCTGTGTTGTTACAAATATTACAGGAATCTCTGGAGATGAGCAAACAGGAACTCTGACTCAGTTTTTCTGAGGAAAGATTTTCAGAGATGTTCTGAAGAAAATGAACAGGAGTAAGTAATGCAAGAAAGGATAGAGAAAAGGCATGATTGTTTTTTTTTTTGCCTAAAGGAGCTTTGGTAGCGTAGTGTTTACAAATCAGGCTGCAAACTGCAAGGTCAGCAGTTTGAAACAACCAGCTGCTACGCGGAAGAAAGATGAGGCATTCTGCTCCCGTAAAGATTAACAGCCTCAGAAACCCTGTGCAGGATCGTTATGAGTTGGAATTGACTGCACGGTACATAACAACAACAACAATAGTGGTGGAAAACTCAAGTGCAAGACAATGAAATGAAAGAGAACTTGGTGCTTTCGAATACCTAAATTTTTCAGGATGAAACAGAGTATACAAGATGACCAGAGAAAGATGTTAGGGCCAGATTTATAACCAAGACCTAGTTCTTTAAGAAATTCTCAATCTCTTTGTTTCAGTTCCATTAATGTGTTCTGCAAAAATACATTTTATATGTATGATTCATCCTGGCATAACTGGCTTAATCCATCATTATTAGGAACCAAATATAAAACCCATCACCAAGACACTCTGAGTTCTGAGGATGATGGAAAATGTTTCTTACGTCTCCCTGAGGGTTGCCTTTGTGGTTTTTCTCGGTCCCACTTACATGGATGGATGTCCTATTTTACTCCCTGTTTCCATTATTATATTGCTATTATCTTTGGAGGTTGAGCTTCACTTTTAATACTGCAGGTAAACATTTGCTAATGTTTCTAATTTTTCATAACGTGACCTTACCATCAGAAGTGGGGCTGAACAAGGATAAAGGAACTAGATGGGGTAGTTTTAACTCTGTCCAGCCCCACTTTTGCAAACATAACCCTTTGAGTCCCCTCACAGCAAGTACAAGGTTTCATAAACTTTAGTAAAGAATAGGGTTTTCTTCTTTGAGGATGGTGGTTAGTGGGGCTGAATGTTGTCAAATTGTCTCTGACTCATAGCGACTCTACATGCTTTTTAAAGTTGTAAATCTATACGTGAGCAGAAAGCCTCATCTTTTTACTGCAGAGAAGCTGCTGCATTTGAACTGCTGATTTTCAGTTAGCGGCCCAATGTATAGCCCACTACACTACTGGGGCTCCTTTCTTTCAGCATTGTTGCTGTTCTTAAGTGCTGTCTAGTCAGTTCCAACTTATAGGCAAACGTATATATAGGGTCTTCTAGGAGTGACTGATGGGTTTGAATCTATGATCTTTGTTTTCAGTTAGCAGTCAGTTGCTAATCCTATAATGCCACACCAGCACTCCTCTTTGAGGATGTTGTGATTGTTAAGTGTCGTCAAGTCGGTTCTGACTCATAGTGACCCTGTATAGGATTTCCGAGGAGTGACTGGTGAGCTTGAACTGACGACCCCGCAGTTCAAACAGCTTTGCAGTCTGGAGCATTAACCCACAGCATCACACCAGGACTCCTCTTTGAGGATGGTGGTGGTGGTTATGTGCTGTGGAGTTGGTTCCGACTCATAGAGACCCTGTAAAAGGTTTCCGAGGTTGTAAATCTTTACAACGCATAGACAGTGATCAATGCAATTCGTTCTGCTGTGCATAAGGTCGCTATGCAAATGGCACCTAACAATAACAACAACAACAACAATTAATCCTTATGGGAACAGAAAGCCTCATCTTTCTCCCGCAGAACAGCTGATAGTTTCAAACTGTTGACCTTGCGGCTCACAGCCCTATTTGTAACCACTATGCTACCAGAGCTCCTTGCTTTAAATAAAATAAAGTAGGATGCAATGTTGAACTTAAGTGCAGAGCTAGATATAGATACAAATGTTGCCTTATCTTGTTCTAGAGATAAATTCAGAGTGCAAGAGCCTATCGGTGATTGAGTTACTGGAGTGGTTGAGATTTAAGCCTTACTTAATGAGCAGAGAACCACAGCCATAGTATCAAGTTCACTTCTAGGAAAAGGATGAGCTCATGAAAGAACCAATAAAAAACCAGACAT